GGGAAGGCCCAGGCTCACAACTTTCCACTGCCCTTTCCAGTCCTTCTTGTCACCCTTTCATTTTTTGTCGTACTACCTACAGGCTTCTAAAACTTGCAAAATATCTGTCAGGTTTTCCATCTGTAATTAATTTTCACTATAGCAGTAAGTTACAGAGGTCTAGAAGTTGCACCATAACATCTAAAATAACATACTCCTAGCCTGCTTTTCAGAAGGTCTGGGCACCATCAGCTCTCATTGAAAATAACGAATTGGAGCATTTCCAGAAAGCAGGCCATAATCATGTAGAAATATTCAGAGGACATAAGTTCAATGAGCTTAGAACACTTTATTTTTTCCTAGCCACCAGTGCTTCAAGTGCATGTAGAACAGGAGGAGGAATGCTAAAGCCTTCTATATCTGGGACACAGTATTTCCGGGGAATGAACAGAGACAAAGGAACTGCAGAGTTAATACCTCACTGAAGTGGAAGGAAGCAATTGACACTTCTCCAAGCTAAATCCTACCCACTATCCAACAACCAGTGCTAGTACAAAAATGGAGTGTAGCTGGATTTGAGGAAGTTAGTGCAGAGAACAAGGGGCACAGAAGCTCCTTCAGATCAACTCTGCCACTGACTGCCATGTGCAAAAAGAGTCCCCAACAGCCCCAGATGAAGCTGGGAGTACATAGCTTGATTGCTAAAGTTGCTTGTCAGCTCCTAGATCAAAAGACAATTTGTTTCAAACCATCTGTCTGAAGATTCAAGATGGTAGCACTGAATCAGCACGTTCAGAAAGCTTTAGTCACAAGTTAAACAGGCAAACATTCTAGATGAATGCCAGAAGTGCCTGAAGAACAAACTACACTCCCACTCCTACTCCCCCATTGAGAAAAAAAATCCATAATTTGCCTTTTGCAAATGGTTTGATTAAATCATAGGCTCTTTGGAATAGGGCCTGTCTTAGTTTGGTGCTTGTAAGGTGATTAGAACACAGCAGTACCAGCTCGGGGCTGGAGTCCCAAACCACTTCTATAATAATACCATTGAAAGTTATGCCTCAGCAGGCATATCTACAAGTGTATTTACTATTCAGTAACTTATTGTAGTTAGTGGCTTTTAGACCAGCATCTACACCTATAGGCATTACTTCACAGTCATGCTGTGTGCGCTCCAACTTGGAAGTAAAGTTACTCGCAAGTTGGAGCACACATGGAGCAATACTGCGCAGTAAGGCGCCTACACATGCTTTACTGTGCAGTAACTAAGTGGGCATATATTTACGCCCAACTCGGCATAAGTTGCCATAGATGATGCTCAGTATGGGCACGCACATGTAGACATGTGCATGTACTGTGCAGTAACTGTGCACATGTAGACGCACCCAGGGACTTTGAAATTCTGCTGCCTTTGTACAATTACTTGTGGGACCTCTCCAAGTTGGAAGCCAGGTTCAACGTGAGTGTAACTGTGTCATAGTTAATAGGACTGACAACAAATGCTGTAGAAAACAAATAACTTAAAAAAAAATCCTTATCTCTACTGGCCAAAAGCAACTGAGCTACAATTAAACTAGCCATGTGCCATGAACAAGGAGTGAAGCTCACCAAAATCAACAGGAACTGCTAGCAAATCACTTGGGACAGGACACACCTAATTCTACTGATTCCTTTAATTAATATTTAAGAATTTTATGCAAACCCCCCCCCCCCCCCACCCCAAAAACAGATGATTCAACAGGAAGGACTGATAAAGCCTCAGTCCAAAATCCTCTACAGCCTTGTTAGAAAATTAATGGAAGAGATGGTTGTGTACTACACAATCAAATCTGCTCAGATAGTGAGTGGATCTGAACCTGTGTTTGCCACATCCCAGGAAAACAGTCTAACTCAGGAGTTGGCAAGCCGCAGAACCACCTGATCCGATCCACGAATGTCGGGCTTCGGTGGTTTTTGGCAGTGGGTAGCTTTGGTGGTGGTTGCTTTCCCATGCCACTGCAAAGAGAAGCAGTAGAAATGGGTACTTTTCCTGTCATTCTGGTCTACAGTTAAAAGGTTGCTAACTGTTCTAACTCAGTGATTTTCAACGAGGGTGCCATCGGGTACTAAAAGAAAATTACACTAAGGGGGAAAAAATCTGAAAATGTACATAACAATCCATTCTAACTTGCTATGAGATCCTTCTAAGGGTGCTGAGGGTCGCAACACAATATTTGCTCCATTAGGTATGCAAACACCTACACATAATTCACAAGATAAACGTAGGTTTTGATTTCAAATAGGAATCCAAAAAGTGTCAAAACAATTCTAAACTGTTGAGGTTTTTCTGAGTCCTTTGCAACACAAGAATCGTTCTATTATTTTCCTATAGTCAAAAAATGAGTGAAAGCTAAGAACTGGCATCTTCCAAGGTGTGCCCTGAGTCTAAAATGGTTGAGAACCATTTTTCTAACTATTGGACAAAAAGTGGGGCAGAGGAGAGTTTGCACTGCCTTCTCCTTCACCTTTTAAACACACCTGCAGAATTATGACCCAGAAGCCAAATAGGTTGGGTATTTACCCATTTTCTGAAAACCAGTGTGATATGGCCATATTCCAGACACCTAACTACCCTGTACTGTCAAGGATTAAGTGGTTATGTACTTGCCCAGAAGCAGAAACTTAGGGTCACAGATTGTCTTAGGTGACTATTGGCTTAGGCAAGGGTTTTTATTATGGCATTGGCTGCAAGAAATCTGATTGCAGGGGCTAAACCCCTGGGAACAGAGCACTTTTTAAGAGGTATTGAGCATCTATTAGTAGTGCTAAATTCAACTAGAACACTGAGTTTCCAGCATCTTTAAAAAACAAAACAAAACAAAAAAAAAAACAAATCAGGCTCTTAAGTTTCAAAACTGGAGAAACATTGATGGACACGTTCAATCAGTACTGATTTCCCCAAATGGAAAGCAAAAGATGAACGTAAAGAAACTATTGTCCACATTCACATGGATAACTATCTACCAAACGAACTGGTCCACTAGAAAATCATTAACAATAGAGCCACCTGCTGTACTAAAAGAAAATGACACCAGGAAAAAACATCTGAAAATGTACATAACAACCCAGTAGAACTTGCTAGTTTTCAATGATTGTGTATTACAAAAACAGGGGGAAATGAGTAGCAGGTCAGTCTACTGTATACTTTTCTTATGCCTACTGTAGCCATTCAATGTATGTAGATCAATGTATGGATAAAAACAATATTTAATAGCATAGTGCTCTTTACTGTCCTATCTCAATTGAGTCTCAACAGCTTTTCAGGTAAACATCTTCATGTGACAGTGAAAAACTGATACAGAGGGGTGAGATGACTTGCACAAGGTCACAGAGAAATCTGTTGTAGAAGCAGAAAATTGTTACTATTTACTAGGGCATTATTTGCTCCCAGCTGATAAATTTTGATTATTTCTCCAAAAACACACACAAAAATATTCCCTGTCCTTGACTGCATATTGTATCATAAGATGGACATATGCAAATGGGATGCTCAAAAGGTGGAGTAAATTAGGTGGGTTTTAATTAACAGATAGGCAAATTTCCCCCCATTTAACACAACTCTAAACTCCCTCATTATAAGCATTAGGGAAGAAGTGATTTGGAAACTTTGACGCAATAACCTGATTTTTGAGAGATCTGATTGGATCCTTCCAAGTGTAACAAAGGATGACAAGATGGAAATGGGAAATGTCCAAATGAATCTTTACGGATATTTCCATCATATTTTAAGTGTGTGACAATCATCTAATACAGGGATGTCTAACGGGCAGCCAGATGTTGCAGTCCAGATGTTGCTGCCCACATTGCTGTCCTGTTGCTGCCACTAGCATCTCTGAGCTCCCACTCCCTCCCCCAGCTTCTACATCCTGCCCCGGCTCTTGGAGACAGGACAGTGCAACATATCCCACTGGACCTAGGGAGCCCACAGCCCAGAAAGCCCAGGGCCTGGGATCCCCATGCAGTGCAGCACAGTGCTGCATGGTGTGGCATGGCAGAGCAGGGAGGCCTGCAGCCCCCAGCTGCTCAGAAGTTAGGCAGTGCTAATCTAATAGATTCTATGGGTATAATATTCAGAATTTCTTGGACAAAGATTCCCAAAAAAGCATGCATCTGTTTGGATCCGCTTCCTGAAAATGCCAAGAGCTTTGTACATAAATGTTAATAGCTACTTTTCTAAATTCTTCTAACAATCATTCAAAAGCAGAACGATTCTACTCATGATATAAATCAAAGCCAATATGAATAAAGATTGCAAAATCTAGTCCAAGGTATACTGTGAAATAATTTTTACACATATGCTACCTGGCAAATTAATAAGGAGGATGAACAGATTACAGTTTTATTGGGTGTGTCTACATAAGCTGTAGCATCAGTAGGCACAAACTGCAATGCCAATGCTATATCGCCCTAACAATGAGCTAGGTCACTGTAGCTCATCACTAGTGACATTGCATCTAAAAATAAGCATGTGCTGCCAGGACTGCACAGTACCAATGCATACTGAACAGTCATTTAGTACTTGCTAAGGCAAATGCGTCCAGTGAATATTAGAGTTGGTCCAAATATTTACAATTCTGAAATGGTGAGGAAAAGTTTTGTTTTTAGATCAAACAGATAACTTGATTACAAGCTTCTCTAAGCAAAAGCTGTCTTCTAAAATATACTTATGCAGTGAACAGTATCATGGGCTGAATAGCTGCTGTTATATAAATACAGGATTTTTTTTTTTTTTTGTCCTAAACTTGTTTGAACAATATTTCCCCCTTTGGGACCATTACTAACAAACATCACACTGTGTTTATACAGAACAAGCCATGTCCTTTACTTGCCAGTATAGTGGTTCCTGGATAACAGAGTTTTGCCCGTTCTGAGTATTTAGCTTCCCATGAGTGAAAGTGGATTTGTCACCCCCTCCAATTTAAAACTTCGTAGAAAATGCATCCAAGGGAAAGCAGAGGGTGATTCAAAATGCATATGCTTACCTGCCATCATAGCGACCATGCTGGCTTTGTACACATTTGTAAGTGATCCCAACTCTCCTGTTCCCAAGATTGTTTTCATATGAGCATCTCCGCAGGCCTGACGAAACTGGCGGATCTCCTCATAAAGACCTATAGAAAAGATGTTTGAAAAACGGTAAGAGCTAGTCAAAAAATATTCATGCCATGCTGTTAATTTCCACTTCTGGGTTTTACTCAAGTCTAATAATTAGTTATAAAATTGGTTTATAAATTCTTTAAATGTTACAGTCATGTAATTTATTGCACTTGTAGGTGATTAGCACCATCACACCATTTCAAATTTATTTTAATTGCTGGTAATGTCATTTCATTCAAAACCAAGAGTATGCCCAATATGCGAAACACATTTGAATCAGTCAGTAGTAAAAACACCACAAAGACTTACAAATATGGGTTTTTTTTAAAAATCTGTCTGGCAATAAATAGCAATAAACTGAATCAGTACTTCGAAAGTCATTCCATTATGTTAATAGCTTTCTTGTACATTCATCATGTTGTTTTCCCTCATTCTAACCCTGGCCTCTAGCTCTCGCCATCTTTCTGAAACGTCTCTTTCATCCTGACAGAACCTCCCATTCTGTCTCTTGCTTTCCATTCCTCCCTCACCCTCTCTACTCTAAATCTGCCCTTAGATGGATCTACACATGTCTCTGTGGAATTATTTGGAGTTGCACACATACATCCCAGGGCAGAATTTGGTCCTCCCTTTTATATATAATTGATAACATGAACTGGTTTGAATTCAGGAAGGAGCTCTTGTGTGAACCTGTAGTTATTAAACAAACAAACCAAAGGGAAGAAAGAAAAACTTTGCTTTGAACCTAGAAGAGGTCGCCAAGGCCACAAGTACTCCACAAACACAAGTGTCCTTCCCTAACAACTTGAGGCTCATTTCAAGGTGGAGTGGAATACATTTGGAAATATTAAGATTTTTTTTTTTTAAGAAAAAGAAGTTATGGGGGGACCCCCCCCACACAATGTACCACAAACCACCAGCCACAAACAACAACATGAACACAAGAAAGCCCTCTTAACCTGATAAAAGCAATGAGGTACAAGGAAGGGAGCACTGGGAATTCCCATCATTCTGTTTTGATGGAGACTGCAGCACTCGAAACAAGAGATAGACCAGGTAATAGCCACTAGAATATTCCAAACATGAATACAAAAGGCTGTTATCAAATCCCCTCTCAGCTTTTTCTTCTCCCACCTAAATAACCCTAGCTTTTTCAGCCTTTCCTCTTAAGCCTTGCATCTTAGGTCCCTAGGCATTTTTGATGCTCTGTGTTGGACTTTTTCGAAACTGTCCACATTCTTGAAGTGTGAGGCCCAAAACTGGACATAGCACTCCAGGTGAAGCCTCACCATTGCTGAATCGAGTGGAAGAATCACTTCCCTTGATTTGCAAGTGACACGCCTGTTGGTACAACCCAGGATGCTGTCAGGTTTTTTTGCAAGAGCTCACTGTTGGCTCATAATCAGCTTATGGTCTACTGTAACCCCCCAGTCCTTCTCTGCTGTACAGCAGGCTAGCCAGCCACTCCCCAATCCATATTAACTTAGAATCAAGTAGATTTTAATATGAATACCTACCACTGTGGAATGTGAAGACATAAAATAATGAAAAGACAATACAGTTTTTGTAAAACCAAGTATAGTTATGCCAACTGCCTCATGAAAGTTCAAATACAGCTTTAAATGTGTCGTTCCTGCAGAATGTTCATAATATGGGCACTCAGTAGCAAGCTTTTATTTAGCAGTAAGATTAGTCTTTCCTCCAAATCCCCAAGAGAGACCTAGAACCATGTGACTGGACTTGTCAAACTGCTTCACTGCTGGTCCTCCACTCCACCTGCTGTGCCGCTGCACTCTATTGATGTCATTGGCACATCAGGATGTAGCTGCTATGCTTCGTAGTGCTGTGGTGTTCCTCTGAGAAATACAATACATATTAGCAGACAACTGGCTAATGCACTTTGCAAGTCCCTTTATAGACACCTGGCTTCACCTCACGTCTTGCTATGTACCAAAGGTGTGAATTAATCATTACTACCATACAGTGTAACATGTTTTATTGATCAACCGATGATACTCCAGAAACCTACATCAACGCAACATTCAGAAAGAAATACAAAAGAACCTGTACTATTTTTCCTGAGCGCTGGCTGGCTCTTGTGGTAGATCCTAATGCATTGTCTCTCTTTTTGGAGTGTCTATTTCCTGAGGCCTTTAGACAGCAACTTTACCGTCTTGTTACTGAAATAAGTAAAAAATGAAAGATTCAAGCTTCTTCTAGTTTTAAGACATGCTTCCACAAACTTTCAAACAATATGCATTTAGGCTGGATGCCGTAAAAGAAAGTTACCTACCTATAACTGATCAGTAAAGGCAGTAATGTACTCTCCATTTTGATTAGAGACACATACCGTGCTGCAATGAATTCAGCCACAGCATACTGAATGACATGTATGTTAACCCAAAGGAGAGGAATAACTAAGGACCCTCAGCCATCAGTTCCTACAACATTACAGCAATAGGGGAAAAAAGTATGCACTTTTTACAATTAATGGGGAATAGACAGGTATGTATGATACAGTTTTGTGAATTGCAATGATTTAAGTCTATTTATATAGTCTCCTCGGTCCTAAAATATTGTAAAGCATTTTGCAACAGTATAGCACTAGAGAAATGCAACTGCCTGTGCTGGGGAAAGGCAACCAACCCGGCACATATCGTGTCACAAACTAGTAAACATGCAACATTTTGACCAAGGACAATTTGGACAAACCCCTTTAGAATAAAAGGGTGTGTGGGGCTTCAGTTTTGACAAAAAGCATGCACAAGGTGATTTTGTCTAAATGATTCCCATACAACAAGCTTCATGGTGTCATGACCCAAAGGCATGATTTTGTGTGTGCTTCGGCACCAGAATTATCCCCGCCAAGTTGCAACTTCATTGCACGGGAGAGTTTCCTGTTGCAGAGGAGAACCCCGGTGCAGGGACGAGTTTCCTGCCTCTTTGCAGCTTCTTTTGCAGAGTGCATTGCTCAAGTTGCAAGAGAAATGCACGGTGCAAAAGAGTTCCCGCCACCAGTATGCAAATTTGTTCCCCGCTATTGGCTAGTTTTAAATTATTCCCACGTGGCAGCTAACGATTGGCCTGTTATCCGTATAAGAGGCTTGAGCGGTTTCCGCCCAAGTCGAAGAGGACTCCACATCCATCTCGTGGAGACTCTGGATACACGGCAGGGTAATAGAGACCCTGTGTGAGATTCAGAGGAGCTTGGTGACCTGATCCATCGCCCACCTCTTCCCGTCTTCGAGTGGAAAGAATTATAAGACGTATCTCCGATTCTGATTTTGGTGGTGCGTTCACCCAGAGCATCCGGAGCTCTGTTCCATGGAGCCTAGCAAACTCCACATGACCGTCCGTGTTGTCTGTGTCTGTAACCGCAACTCAAGCAAGTTTTCCAGCCTACACCACTGCCATCTCGGCGTAAGTAAACAATCTTTAAAACTACCGCTAAGCATTTGTGCCTAATTCCAGCTCGTCGCCCTCCCTCTCCGATCCAGCGTGCCCGGGCTGCTGGCCACAGCCTGCATGCAGCACGAAAAAGGGCTCGGGTTGCTCTCAGCCCGCACACATGGTACTCAAGTTACATCTCTCCTAAAACACACATGTCGACACACACGCATGCACACACCTAAAATGCAAGGCCAAGTTAACCAAGCATGTATCCGAACCCAGGTTTTCATGGAGTGAGCCTTCAGGTTTTTTTATATAATTAATATTAATGCCAAGAAAAAACATTGTTGCACCAGTTCTATGAATGGCAGGAACATAGTCAGAGTACTGAAAAGAACTGGTATTTTAAAGTCCATACTATTCAGATTCAAGTAGGGTTAGCTGATGCTGATGGCTGCCTGAAGTTGTATCCACAAATACATTCCAATGATTGCCAAAAGAACTGAACCAGTAAAACACAAAGTCAGAAAATATTTTCTGAAATATCTAATAAAAATGTAGTTTTTCCAGACATTGGGCTTACACTACTGACCCATTCCACACTCATTAGAGAAACTGCAAGAGATCCTCACTTTTGATTTCTTTAAAAATAGATCCACAATACTCAAGGAAAAATGGTTAATAGCAATACACCGATACACTGAGCAATAGCCTTATTAAAGGTTGTCATTTTCACCTATAACAAGATTCAAGTATGAACAGTCAATAAAGGAAAGGGAAAAAAATAGGAGCAGGTGGCTCCTCTCCAATCTAAATATGTAGCGGGAGAAAAGTAGACTGAGAACAAGCTAGGTTCTCTTCTGTCTTCCACGGAATCAACAGATATATTAATGTAAGTACAACAATTTATTTTATTTTTTATAGCCTGGAAAAAGAGTTTACCTTACCATCTGAAGTGAAAAAATCGTTCACAATCTGCTGGCATTATTTTTAGGGGGGGAGAAATCCATTATTATCAAATTTTTGGTGTAAAACTAACTTCCTATAAAGTATCAAAATTAATCATCATTTAACTCCCTCCGTTTTTTGGATTTGCCTTTCTTGCCTTTCTGTCCATTTTTCAGTTTTTAAAACATTTTTTCTTCTAGGGTTTGACCTTCTGTCCCCATCACTCCCCTGTTTTATCTTCCTTATCCCCTGGCCTCTCTTTCCTACATTTCCATCCTTGAAATTTCCATCCACCTAGTTTCCTTGTATGGAAAGTCAAAGTATGGTATCACTAACACACATGAGACATAGGTGAGCTTTGGAAAAAGAGCAGACAGCAAAGTGAATTTGTAGCTTTTCTTCCATAACTGCAGATCAGTCAATAACCTCATTAGTAACGTAGCTTCCTAACATTGCAACGCAGATACTAAGTGAAGATGCAGGCAATTTTAAGTGGCTCTCTCAAAATATAAGAGAACCTCCGATTCCCTGGTAGTCAAGGGGGAAACTTAACAATAGTTATTGGGACCCAGAGTGATAAGGGATTTGGGACAATTCCACAATAAAGGCTAGGCTTGCAAAACTGTTGCAGATTGAAACTAGGATAGAGCAGCTGATGCATCATCATGGATTCAGT